ACATCACCAAAGGCAACAGAAACAAAGGAAAAAATGAACACATGGGACTACATCAAACTAAAAAGCTTCTGCACAGCAAAAGAAACAATCATCAAAATAGAAAGGCAACCCACTGTATGGGAGAACATCATTGCCAATGATATATCAGATAAGGGGTTAATTTCCAATATATATAGAGTGCTCATACAACTCCACAAAAGGAAGACAAAGAACCCAATTAAAAAATGGGCAGAGGAACTGAATAGACACCTCTCCAAACAGGACATACAAATGGCCAAGAGACATATGAAGAAATGCTCATCATCACTAATTATCAGAGAGATGCAAATTAAAACAACAATGAGGTATCACCTCACACCTGTCAGAATGGCTGCCATCAACAAATCATCAAACAAGTGTTGGCGAGGGTGTGGAGAAAAGGGGACTCTAGTACACTGCTGATGGGAATGCAGACTGGTGCAGCCACTATGGAACACAATATGGTGTTACCTCAAAAAATTAAAAATTGAACTTCCATTTGACCCAGTGATCCCACTTCTAGGGATATACCCTAAGAAGCTTGAAACACCAATAAGAAAGAATATATGTACCCCCATGTTCATAGCAGCACTATTTACAATAGCTAAGATCTGGAAACAGCCCAAGTGTCCTTCAGTAGACGAATGGATAAAAAAGCAGTGGTACATATACACAATGGAGTACTATGCAGCGGTAAGAAAGAAAGATCTCTTATCCTTTGAGACGACATGGAGGGACCTGGAAAGTATTATCCTAAGTGAAATAAGCCAAGCAGAAAAAGACAAATACCACATGATCTCACTTATATACGGAATATAATGAACATAACAGTCTGAGGAATACGGTAGACCCAGAAACATGGAAGTGGGGCACAGACTGACATCCGTCAGAAGAGGGGGTGGGGGGCTGGGAAGAGATAAACCACAGAACTTATATGCATGTATGCATAACCAATAGACATGGACAACAAAGCCGGGGATGGGGCGGGTGTGGGGTGGGGAGGGGGGTACCAATGGGGTAAAAAAAAAAAAAAGAAAGAAACATTTGTAACAAAAAATAAATTAAAAAAATAAAATAAAATAAAATTTTAAAAAAAATAAAAAAGAAAGAAACATTGATGAGAGAGAACAATGATTGGCCGCCTCCTGCATGCCCCCTACAACCTGGGCATATGCCCTGACCAGGAATTGAACCAGCGACCTCTTGGTGCATGGGTCAATGCTCAACCACTGAGTCTCACCGGCCAGGTGGTTTTCGATTTCTTGATCTCTCTTTTCTCCTTCTAGTACTCCCATGATTTTAATGTTGGTATGCTTGATGATGTCCCAGAGGCTCCTTACACTATCTTCCTCTTTGGGGGATTCTTTTTCCTTTTTACTGTTCTGATTGGGTGGGTTTTTTTTTTGTTTGTTTCTTTATATTCCAAATTGATGGTTTGCTTGTTGGCCTCATCTACTCTACTACTGAGTCCCTGTAAATTATTTTTTATTTCATTTAGTGTCTCCTTCATTTCTGACTGTGCATCCTTCATTTTTGACCGGTTCTTTATTATGCTCTTGAGGTCCTCACCAAGTTCCTTGAGCATCCTTATAATTAGTGTTTCGAATTCTGTATCTGTTAGATTGCTTATCTCCATTTTGTTTAGTTATTTTCCTTGAGTTTTGTTCTGTTCTTTCATTTGGGACATGTTTCTTTGCCTCCTCATTTTGGCTGCCTCCACGTCTTTGTTTCTATGTATTAGATAGAGCTACTATGTCTCCTAGGCTTGGTAGGGTGGCCTATAATAGTAGGTGTCCTGTAGGGTCTGGTGTCACTTCCTGATTATCCTAGCTGGGCATTAGAGGTGCACCCTTCATGTGGACTGTACACCCTTCAGTTGTAAGTGAGTCTTGATTGCTGTTGGCACATCAATGAGAATGATTTATTTATTTATTATTATTATTTTTTAATCCTCACCTGAGGATATTTTTCTATTTATCATCAGATAGAGTGGGAGGGAGAGAGAGGGAGAGGGGGAGGCATGGACAGAGAAACATCAATGTGAGAAAGACACATCCACTGGTTGCCTCCTGCACGAACCAACCAGGGCTGGGGATGAACCACAACCAAGGTACGTGCCCTTGACCAGAATCGAACCCACAACTCATTGGGCCACAGGCTGAGCTCCAACCACTGAGCAAAACCAGCCAGGGCAATGGGAGGGATTAATCAGGCTGATCAGCTGCAAGGACTGGCTGTGCCCGCTGACCACTGACTACCTTGGAGGATCAGCTGTGCAGGGGTCCACCCCACAGAGCAAGACTTACTTCAGCAGAACTCTGGTACCCATTGAGCCCACCCCTTGAGTGTGTCACTTGTGGAGGTGGTTGGGTGGTGGTGCTTTGATGTGGTCTGAAGCTGTTCACTGGGTGTGTTGGCTCTGGTGCCTCCCTGACGGTGCAGGCCAAGGTCAGCTACTGCCTGTGTTCTACCTGGAGCCACCAGGCATAAGCTACAAAGCGATCTGCAGATGGCTGCTTCTTGTGTTGAGCTTGAAGGTGCCCAGACAAGGCCAAGCTGTGAACCAAGGCTGGCTGCTGCGAGTGCTGGGCCTGGGACCACTTAGTGAGAGGTATGGGGCTCACTAAAGCCAGATGCTGCTTGTTTGAGAGATTTAAGAAAAACCCAGCCCTGGCCAGTTTGGCTCAGCAGTTAGAGCGTCAGCTTGCGGTCTAGAGAGACTCGGGTTCAGTTCCCGCTAAGGGCATGTACCTCGGTTTTAGTTTGTTCCCGGCCCTGGTTGGCTCGTGTGGGTGGCAGCCACTCGATGTGTCCCTTTCACGTCGATGTTTCTCTCTCTCTCTATCTAAACAAAAAGTAAAAAATGTCCTCGGCTGAGGATAATGAAAAAACAACAACAAAAAAAACAAGAAAGAAAAAGAAAAATCCAAAGCACGAGCCTATTCCTAAGGTAAAGCCACTGGAAAGTGGCTTTGGTCCCCAGAGTTGGGTGAGGCAGGGCCTCAGGGAATTATCAGGGTGGGGCAAACAGTGTGAGCTAGGTTGCTGCGGTCACAGGTATGGCCTCTGTTTGCTGACCCCATCGGGGAAGGGCTCACCAAAGCAACCTTGGCCTCTGATAGTTCATCTATCTGGGAGAAAGCTGCCCCTCCAGCACTCCCCACAATGCCAAACAACTCAGTTCTTCCACGTATATCTTTGGTGCTTTCAAGCTGCCTCCCCCATGCTGAATCTCAGAGGAAGGGAGTCTGAGTAAGTCCATGTGCAGGCCTTTTAAGAGGTACTGCCTGGTCCTGGCCAGTTTGGCTCAGCGGTTAGAGCTTCAGCCTGCAGACCAGAGAGGCCCAGGTTTGGTTCCCGCTAAGGGCACGTACCTCGGTTGCAGTTTGTCCCCAGCCCCGGTTGGGGTCGTGTGGGTGGCGTCCACTCAATGTTTCTCTCTCTCTCTCTCTCTCTCTCTCTCTCTTCCTCTCCCTCCCCCACTCCATCTGAACAAAAAATAAAAAATGTCCTCGGATGAGGATAAAAAAAAAATGCAGGAATGTCCTCAGGTGAGGATAAAACAAAAAGAAGAGGAACTGCCTGGGACTCCAGCAGTCTCCACCTTCCTCAGCCTCAATTCCTGCTGGTTCTCCAGCCAGAAGTTACAGGGACTTCTCTTCCTGGCTCTGGAATCCTGAGCTGGGGAAAGGGGGGCTGGTGTGGGACTGGGACCCCTTACTCCTCAGGGAGGACCTTCACAACAGAGGTGGCCTCCTGATTTTTATCCACCACACATGGATGTAGGACCAGCCCTTCTGTACCTCTGCCCCACCTACCAGTCTCAGTGTGGCTTCTTTAAGTTCATAGTTGTAGGACTTCCATTCAGCTCAATTTCAGGCAGTTCTGAATGATGGTTGTTCTATAGTTTAGTTGTAATTTTGATGTGGTTGTGGGAGGAGGCGGGTACCATGTTTACTTACACCACCATCTTTTTTTTTTTTTTTAATCCTCACCCGAGGACAATTTTTTTATTTTTTGTTCAGATAGAGTGGGAGGAAGAGAGAGAGAGAGAGAAACATCGATGTGAAAGGGACACATCGAGTGGCTGCCACCCGCACGACTCAACCAGGGCCGGGGACAAACTACAACCAAGGTACGTGCCCTTAGCGGGAACCGAACCCGGGTCTCTCTGGACCGCAGGCTGCCGCTCTAACCGCTGAGCCAAACCGGCCAGGGCTACTTACACCACCATCTTGACCAGAAGTCTCTGTTCTTGCTTTTTGAACAAGAGGTCCTGCATTTTCATTTTGCATCAGACCTTACAAAATATGTAGCTGTCCCTGGTCCCAGGAGAAGGTACAGAGCTGGCCCCCCACTCCATGGTGGTCTTTGGAGAAGGGCCCTCATTTCCTTAGGCAGTTTCCATCCTTACATAATGAAACATCTCAGAGTTTTCCCCGTGGAGACAACATTCCCACTTGCATCAATTCTGGTCCTTTCTGCTCAGCCCTTCCCTAGGTCTTAAGTAAGGGATGATTGTGTAGGGTGAGGGTGAGAAAGCATAAAGGTGCTTATAGACAACAGATACCCAGGCTGTTTATTGAAGTCCAAACCCCAGCCCCTCCTACCAAAGGCCACCTGTTAGTCATAAGGCATGGTCTCAGCCATCTCTCCCACCAAGAGAGCTGGTCAGGTCCCAAGGCCTCGGAAGCCTTCCAGAGTGGCTCCTGAAGAGAAAGGGGCTTTGAATAATGGAGCAGATGCTGCTCTCTGATTAGTGGACAGTATGACCCTCCCTTTTGGAAGGCACTGCTCACCTAATCCTACACTGTAGGGCCTAGGGTGTGTGTGGGCATTTTACACTGGGCCCCCTGGGAGACTGGAAGGGCTAATGAGAAATGGGTCAGCAATGAGAGGTGTTGCACAGTCACCCAGAAATTGCTCAAATGGGAAGAGCAGGAGCTCTCGGCTGGGGGCAGAGGCATGTAACGCCCTTCCCTTCAGAAGTTGTTATCTATGTTCCAGACGTCCCCACTGAGTGCGTTGGCAGCCCCCTGCAGCGTCCAGGTGAGCAAGGCCAGCTGGCGACGAAAGCGGCTCTCCTGGAAGCCCAGGCCAGACCCCACCGCGGAAGAGGCAGCCCCCAGGGCCCCAGAACTGCTGGTGCGCAGCAGCCGTACGTGGTCAAGCAGGGCACCCAGTGTGTGATCTCCACGGCCCAGGAATATGTGGCGGAACGGGGAGTCAGCCGGCGACACGTACTGGGACAGGAAGTAGAACTCCACCTGAACAGAAAGGGAAACCAGGTCAAGGCTGGAGCTGAGCCAAGGCCTGAACAATTCCAAACCAAGACCAGGACCTAGAACCGGCTTAATAAATACAGTTGACCGGCTTCTTTAAGTCCCACCTCCCTCTGGCTGTCCAATCAGGAATGGCCACTCAGTGATGTCACAAGTAGCCGGGTAGAATGCGTCCTCCAGCAGTGTCTAGGATTGAAACCTTTTCTTTTTATCCCTTGAACCTCCAAGTCTGCATTTAGGTTTTCCCAGCCTTCCCTTCTCACCATTCACCTCCCTGCGCAGGGCCTCAGAGAACAGTCTATCCTTCTGCTGTTCTTCACTTTCCCACACCCCAGTCATTCCACCTCACATCTGCCAATGTCCACAGCCCAGAGTCAAAGGTCAAGGGGGACAGTCCAGTCCTAATGAAGTGCATGCCTCTGTCCTCACCCTCTGACTCAGATACTGTTTGTCTTTCCTGCGATGGCCTTTCCTACTCCTACCCCAGTTCTCTCACCTTTCTGCCAGCTTCTCTGGTTCCTTCTGTTCCCACCTATGGGCAGGCCTGAGGTTTGACCTCTACCTTCTGCTCTTCTCTTTACCTACAATCCACTTTTTTTTTCAACCCTGGCTGCATAGTCAAATCACGAGGGGAAGATATTTAAATTACCATTGCCTGGGTGCCACCCCAGCAAAATCAGAATCTCTAAGGGTGGTCTCACACACTCATATCTTTCTAAGACCTCATTCATTCAAAGAGCTCATCCATGCCCTTAACTTCAACCAGGACCTTGTGGGAATAGTTGGCAATCTTGCCCTCCAGCGCTGGGCCTCCTCACTAGGGTAGGGGGCACTTGGACACAGCCTCACATACATGTGGGCACCAACTTCTTCCAAAACCTGACCCTTGCACCCACATTCCCTCGTGAGCACCATGGTGTTCCCAAGGTGCCAGGCTCTCAGCCTCAAAGGTGAGTGCCAGTGGGGTGAGCACAGACTTTGGAGTCAGACTGCCCAGTTTCTAACTTCAGTTCTACCACTTACTGAGATCTTGGATACATTACTTAGCCCATCTGAGCATCAGTTTCTGTGTACAATACTAGTAACCTCACAGGATTTGGGGGAGTTCTGAGAAAGGAAAGGAAAGCCATAGCACATGGTATCATTTAATAAATGGCAGCTGCTGTGATTATTCTCCTCCTCTTTTCTCAACACCCCGTCTGTCCATTTTACTTCCAAATGTCTCACATCAGTCCAGTCCCCTCACCCATATGGGGTATATGCTGCCATCTGCCGCCCTCACCCAGAGCTCAGTCATCACTAATATTCTCTCTTCAGGCCATCTACATTCTGGCCAAATCCTTCCTAAAACTCCACTTTGCTCACCTTACCTCCCTGTTCAAATACCTTCCTAACTTCCTGGATGCCCAGACCCTAAAAATTCAAAGTTCTTATCTTGGTATTCAAGGTTCTCCATAGTCGGTTCCTAACTCACTATTTGGTGTTCCTCTCCCCTCAGATTTTCCACAGGGCCCCTGTTCAGGCTCTGCTGGTCCACACACACTGCTCACAAGGAGAGTCGGGCCCTATTTCACAGCCTCATCCTTATTCTGGGGCTCTCCACCCTGAAACATCCTCTTTTCTTGCACCAACTCAAGTTCTTTCTGTTGTACAAGACCCATGTCATAGTCTAAAGTAGGAGTCAGCAAACTTTTTCTGAAAAAAGTAAGATAGTAACCCTGGCCAGTGTTGCTCAATGGTTAGAGTGTGAGCCTATGCACCGAAGGGTCACAGGTTCAATTCCCGGTCAAGGGCACGTACCTGGGTTACAGGTTCCATCCCTGGCCCTAGTCGGGGTGTGTGAGAGAGGCAACCAATCAGTGTGTCTCATATCGATTTCTCCCTCCCTCTCTCTCTCTTTCTTTCTCCCTGCCTCCTTCCTTTTCACTCTTTCTAAAAATCAATGGAAAAATATCCTTGGGTGAGGATTAACAACAACAAAAAAACAAGATAGGTAATATTTTAGGCTTCTCAGGCCATACTGTTTCTGTTGCAACTACTCAATTTTGCTGCTGTAGCACAAAAGCAGCTGTAGACAATATGAAAACCAATGAGCTTTGCTGCGTTGCAATAAAATTTCCTTTACAAAAACAGAAGGCAGGCCAAATTTGGCGTGCTGGATGTAATTTGCCAACCTCTGATCTAGAGCCACAAAGTTCCCTGGGTCTGGCTTAGCCCTGTGTTGCAGGTTCTGAAGTCCTGAGTCTTTTTCTCTCCAGCCTGAGTCTGAATCTGTTGATCCCTTACACACAGATGTTTTTGTCGCTTGGGGAAAACTTCTGGAGTGGGGTAAGGGGAGTGCCTTTTTTGTGTTCCTGGAGTCTGGCACAGCAGGGGTTAAAGCAAGATCTGAGAATGAGAATGAACCATGCCCAATCACTTGTCTCACCACAGAGTCACATGTTTCAGTGGAGGGGACAAAGGGAAGGGGAGAAGGAGAAATCAGGAAAGGGGGGAGGAAGAAGAGGATACTGAGGAGAGGAGGGAATGAAACTAGTAGAAAGGATCAAGAGGGATGTCTTTGTGAACAGAAAGAAGAAATGAAAGATGCCAAGGGAAATGGGCAGGAACCAAGAGGAAAAATGAATGGGGAGAAAAAACACAAACCTGCAAGGGGCAGACATGTTCTCCCAAAACTGTGTGCACACACTCTGGGTTTTCTATTCACCCCATTCAGTGAGTATAGCCCTGCTAATTATTTTGCCCTATAGGTTTTTCCCCACTCTCACAGTCTCTACCCATCCATTTCCTGAGACAAAGGGGTGCAGGTTGCAAAGTATTAAAGCTAAGCAGGAAGGGGGAGGAGGGTGTCAATGGGGGAAAAATGAGAAACATCTGTAACAAAAACAAATTAATAAATAAAAATAAATCATGGGAGAGCATAATTGCCAATGGTATATCAGATAAGGGGTTAATTTCCAATATATATAGAGTGCTCATACAACTCCACAAAAGGAAGACAAAGAACCCAATTAAAAAATGGGCAGAGGAGCTGAATAGACACCTCTCCAAACAGGACATACAAATGGCCAAGAGACATATGAAGAAATGCTCATCATCACTAATCATCAGAGAGATGCAAATTAAAACAACAATGAGGTATCACCTCACACCTGTCAGAATGGCCGCCATCAACAAATCATCAAACAAGTGTTGGCGAGGGTGTGGAGAAAAGGGGACTCTAGTACACTGCTGATGGGAATGCAGACTGGTGCAGCCACTATGGAACACAATATGGTGTTACCTCAAAATTTAAAAATTGAACTTCCATTTGACCCAGTGATCCCACTTCTAGGAATATAGTCTAAGAAGCCTGAAACACCAATCAGAAAGAATATATGTACCCCCATGTTTGTAGCAGCACTATTTACAATAGCTAAGATCTGGAAACAGCCCAAGTGTCCATCAGTAGACGAATGGATCAAAAAGCAGTGGTACATATACACAATGGAGTACTATGCAGCGGTAAGAAAGAAAGATCTCTTATCCTTTGAGACTACATGGAGGGACCTGGAAAGTATCATCCTAAGTGAAACAAGCCAAACAGAGAAAGACAAGTATCATATGATCTCACTTATTTGTGGAATATAATGAACATAACAGACTGAGGAATGGGGTAGTCCCAGAGATGTGGAAGTGGGGTACAGACTGACAATCCCCAGAAGAGGAGATGGTGGGGGAGAGATAAACCACAGAACTTATTTGCATGTATGCATGAACAATGGACATGGACAACAAACTGGGGACAGGGCAGGGAGGGAAGGGGAGGGGGGAATCAATGGGGGAAAAAGGAGAAACATCTGTAACAAAAATTAAATAATAAAAATAAATAAATTAAAAAATAAATAAATAAATCAGAAAAAAATAAAATCAATAAAGAAAAAATATATATTTTTTAAAAAGCTAAGCAGGAGGAATTGAAGAGGAAATAAGATCTAGTATAACTTTCATGTGACACCTCCTCCCAGCAGCCTTTCTGGGTTTCAGGCATCTCATTTCCAGAAGGAGGAGACCTCTCTTTGCTCTGAATTTCTTTTTTTTTTTTTAATCCTCACCCGAGGGATCCTCGATATTTTGTTCAGATAGAGTGGGAGGGAGAGAGAGAGAGAGAAACATCAATGTGAAAGGGACACATCGAGTGGCTGCCACCCGCATGACCAATCAGGGCCAGGGACAAACTGCAACCAAGGCATGTGTCCCCAGCGGGAACGAACCCAGATCTCTCTGGACCGCAGGCCGAGGCTCCAACCGCTGAGCCAAATCGGCCAGGGCTGCTCTGAATTTCTTAAGCCTTTTGTACCTCCTGAGCCATAACCCTGTGCCTCTTGTACTGTGGACCATTGTGGGCATGCTTTTTTGTTTTTTGTTTTTTTTTTATCTTCACATGAGGACATTCTTGCACTTATCTTCAGATAGAGCGGGAGGGAGAGGGAGGAAGAGAAAGAGAGAAACATCGATGTGAGAGACACATCGACTGATTGCCACCCACAAAGTTAAGGGGACCAACTGCAACGGAGGTATGTGTCCTTAGCGGGAACTGAACCCAGGACTCTCTGGTCAGAGGGCCAATGCTTTAACCGCTGAGCCAAACCGGCCAGGACAGCATGCTTTTTCTCTTCAGGAGTGTGGCTGGGGGGGGGGGGGACAGGGGACAGGGGACAGGGGACAGGGGACGGGGACGGACGACCGTGTGTGTGTGTGTGTGTGTGTGTGTGTGTGTGTGTGTATGTTGGGGAAGGGAGGAGTGTCCTAGTCCTGCCCTGTTGGCCAGGAGATTGTAGCCAAGGGAATGGTTCTCCCAGTCCGTTTCAGCACTATGCAGGGCCTGCCTCAGTGCTCACTCCAGACTGGCCTGTGAGCAATGTGCATCAGGGACTTGAAATGCCCTGAGGACAAGGATTGCTGGAAGGTAGAGAGAGGGGAAGGGAGTCCACCGGTGAGGAGCTAAGCAGAGGGAGGAAGGGACACGGCGGGGACTGGGGCCCTCACCCGCATAATGCGCACGTTGTACATGCGGGTCAGCCTCTCATCGCTCTCCTCCGAGCTGTAGATCTCCTTCCGCAGCTTCTCTGCCGCCCGGATGTAGTCCCCTCGCGCGGAGTACACCCACTGGAGGGTCAGCCCGCGGGCCTGAGGGAGGAGGGGCGTGCTGGGACCGGTAGCAGGAGCCAGGACCGGCTCAGGATGGAGGTCAAGGGGTTGGGGGTGGGCAGGCCAAGCAGGAGTGGGGAGGAATAGGGGGACAGAATGCTGGGGTGAAATGGACAGGGAAGACCTGTGTGGTGTGTGTGGAGGGTCAAAAATCCTGTGGGCTTGGGAGGGACTTAGGTGACTGGGGCAGGAATAAAGGGGACAAGACACCTAGGAGGGTGGAGGAGGGAGCGACAAGACCCTCTGGACTGGGCAGCACTTTAAGAGATATAGTGCCCCTCAATCCCAGAAGCCATGAGCAGGATTGGCATCTTGGACCTTGAGGTCCCCAGAGAACTCGTTAAGGTTGCCGATGTGTCTGAGGACGACGTCCCCGTAGCGTCCAAAGTCGAGGGGCAGCAGGTGATCATGGCTGAGCCGGATGAGGAGCTGCCCTGCAAGCTGGGCCACAGCCTGGGCCACGGCTGGCAGACGGCCCCGCAGCACCCTGTGCAGGTTCTCATACGTGTCGTCCTTCGTGTGCAGGAACGGGTACACCTGGCCATCCTGCTGAGATAGGGGTTGCTGGTGCACGGGCATGGTGCAGACAGGCTGAGGGGCTACTGCTCTTGGGCAGAGCCAGGGAGTCTCACCTCCACAAAGGAGAATTCGATGGCAGGAACCCCCGCAAAGGCAGTGAAGGAATAGGCACTGCTATCCATGGGCAGTGGCTGGATCCTGAGATTAGGGGGCAGGTTAGAATTCTCTGTGGGTTCAGGCTCCTCCCACATTATCCCCAGCTTTCCTCCCTCCCATCTTGCCCTAACTTACACCTCTGCATCCCAGTTGTGATTGTTGACCGCCACCTGCTCATAAAGGGTCTGCCCACTCTGGTTAGGAGAGTCCACCTGGGGACCGGGTGGGGGGCATGTTCAGGCTCCAGTCGTGTGTTCCCCCCACCCCCATTTACCTCCATTCCCTGCTCCTGGCTAGACGCTTGCCTGCTTCAGGATGTTCTCAATGAGGCTGACCAGAAGGGGGCTGGTCTTGGCATGGAACTTGTCATCCCCTGCAGAGAAGGAGGCCAAGCTCAGGGCTCCGTCTCAAGGGCAGGGGTGCACCTGAGGGGGTCCAGGTGGTGGTATTGCCCCTGCTCACCCAACACAGCATTGTCCAGGCTCACATAGACTACGGCTTTGAGATGCAGCAGGCTGAGGTAGCCCTGTGGGTGAGGGGTATGGAATATGAAGGCCCTCCTCACTTCTCTCCACTGCCTGGCTACCTGCCCAGGATACCACATTACCTCCAGCCACTCGGTGGAGCCCACACTCCCAAAGTCACCTCCATCCCAGCTGATGAAGAGAAGACTTCTCCGAGGCTGGAAGCCTGGGAACAGAGTGGGAGGGAGGATGGGCTCAACTGGGGACCAAGCAAAGACCTCCCCTCTTTGTCTTCCTCTGTCCTGGTCCTCTGGGGTCTCTCTTTCCCTCTCATCAAGTCCCAGCCCAGCCCATCTCACTGGGTCTGCCTTGATTCAACTCTAACAGCAATGGAGATGGTTTACATATGGAATCTTCTGTTTAATCTGCATTCAGACACTGGACTGTTTATATGAGTAAATAGAGATGCAGACACTTGCTCAGGGCCATGCAGGACATGAGTGGCCAAGTTTAGAACCCAGGTCTGAGGGACCACCCTCCAGCCTGTGCTGCTAATTGCCTCTCTGCCCATCCTGACTCAGCCCTGGCTGCCTGGCCCAGGCCCAGGCTCTGACCTTACCATTGCTCACCATGGAGGAAAAGGTCCGCACCAGCTCCAGCAGTATGGCAGTCCCCACAGCAGACTTGGCTGCCCCAGGGCCCCACGCATCCCTTTGGGCCCCAATGACAACATAGTGATCTGGGGAGGAGATGTTTGGAGTCTACCTCTTATACTGGCAGTACCCAGAGGCTTCTCCCTCCACCCTGGCAAGACAGGTGCTCACAAGGCCTCACCATTTCTCCAGACCCCCAACTAGTCTCTATCTCAGCCCCTCACATTTCTGCCACCCCTGCTGTCACTAAAGAGTGCCACTCCTTCCCTTGGCCCTGCCTGTATGGTCTGCTCCTTCAGTGAGGTGTCTGGGGTCATTCCTGGTCCATTACCTCCCAGGTCAGCCATGTCCTGCTGTTTGCCAGTTTTTCCCATTTTAAATCTCTCTACCCTTTCTCCACCCATACTCCCACTACAGCATTCTCATCTGAGCCTCGTCCCAGGCTGCCCTGTGCCACTCCCTTAGTGCTTATAGGTACCACACTCTTGTTTCCAAGTTGCTCTTGTGACCCCAGTCTTCAGCTCATGAACCCACTTTGATTCCCCCTTTTATCCACATCTAGTTATGCTTGAAAGGCTCAACTACCTAATCTGACCTCCCTTTCATGCTGTAACATCACCCAAGTGATGCTTGTTCACCCCCAGTGCTAGACAACTCACTATTGCCTCTGGGCATACTGGAACTTGAAGTCTCACTACTACCCTATGCAGTTCCAGTTCAGCCCAACCTACCAGACTCTCTCCCTGCTAACACTTGCCAAACCCTCTAGCCAAAGCCACCTCCCTTCTCTGGGCATCACTCTGGCCTGCTCTCCAGGACCTCCTGCTCCAGCCCCACCTCTGGTCAGGGTTTATAAGCAGCTCTCCTCCGGCGGGTTGGGCAAGGACGCACACCTGGCTCTGATCGGCCCTCGATGCAGCCAAAGATGTTGCTGATGGGGGTGGAAGCCCTGTGGTTGTTGACCCCTAGGTGCAGGCCTGGCCCAGGGCCCAGGCGATAAAAGGAGTCTGGGAGCCACCCCTGCCATTCCTGTGGGGCCACAGGACCTTCAAGCTTCCTGGAGAGGGGTGGAGCAGAAAGCGTAGGGAGTAGCAGAGAGGCTCAGGCTATGAAAGAGCCTAAAGCCCACTCTTCACTCTTTCTCTCCCTCCCACCTTCTGGCTCCTGCTCTCTGCCTCTGCACCCTGACTGAGGGGGCAGTATAGCCAGGGCTGCCTTGGTTAGTTGTGCAGGCTGTGTCCTGCTCGTGGGCGCCCAGTGGAGGTGGGTACGATATCCAGCCGGAGCGCCACTCATCAAACAGTGGACACTTGCAAGAGGCTGTGCCCCCCCCCAGGAGAGCCACCTTTTTCTAGTTCACCCAAAGTCACCTTGTAGGCTAGCTGTAGCCTGCCTCTCCCTGTCTCCTCTCCTGGTTCCCACATACCCCTCACCTCAGCAGGAGGGAGGCAATGTCCGCACTGATGGGCTGGGCTGGGATGCTTGGAAGGCCTGAGGACTGGACTGGAGGGAACTGGGTTTGATTGAAGGAAGGGAAGCCAGGCGTGTAGGGGTCCCCAGTGCCCAGGTGCACCTGTGGGGTGAGGGGTGCCCACTCTGAAACTGTGGGCTAGGCTCCCATAAAGTGTGCCAGCCTCATCCCGGGCAAGGAGGTGCAGTCCTGGGGCCCTAGGAAAGCACTGCTAGCTTCCCCCAGACTTACATGTCCATACACAGCTCGGTTGCTGGACAGGCCTGGCTTGTGTGGGTCCTGGGGGAAGTCGGCTGGGTCGGGATATATGAGTACTCCTCCTGCCCCAAAGTCCTGGGCACTGGCCACCTAAGGAAGGGAGGAGCTAAAGGACTCTTTCTCCCAGAGAAAACAGATTTGTAAGGGGAGGGGAAGCAAGTAAAAAGTGACACGGCCTTTGATCTGCAGTTGTAGATCCACAGAGAGCCTGTGGGCACCACCTGGCCCTCACCTGGCTCCCACAGTGCCTTGGCAGCCTGGACCCCACACTACCCTACATTCTCCTGTGTTTCTGTTCCCCATTCCAAACCCGATTTTGTTCCCCGCCAACATTTTCTTATAATCCACTTGGTTCTTTATTTTTTCCCACTGACAGCCTCCTAGACACTGCCCATGTGCCGCTATCTAATCCTGGGGTTCCCCAGCCTGCACCCTACCCGCTACGCTTTATTCCACCACACTGCCCCCCATCCGGGGACCCTCACCTTCTGAGCAAAGCTGATCATCCCCAAGCGCACCAGCAGGAGGCGCCCAGCCAGCTCCACACCCCTGGTCCGCAGGTGCTGCAGGTCCTCCGGCCGCCCATAGTGGGCGTACACCAGCTTTCCCTGAGGAGGAGGGCTGTCAGGCACGCTCTCCGCAGCCCTCCTCCGCCCAGAGGGAAAGGGGCGTGGCTGGAGGCGCTCACCGTGGCGTTGCCGGTGGCGCTGTAGGGACAGTAGACGTCCGGGTCCTCCAGCGGCAGCTGCTCCCCGGGCCTCCCGGCTTCATCCACCCAGTGCAGGGTGTTGGGGTGAGCCCTGAGGAGTGGGGGTAGTGAGCGTTCCCCACTCAACACGGCCCGCCCCCGCCGCGCCCCTCGACCCCCACGAACTCACGGGTCAGGGAACTGCAGCCCCACGTAGTGCGTGTCTGTCCACACGTGGTCCAGCTTCTGGAGCGAGAAGGCAGCGCGGATGTCCTGAGCAAGGGCGGCCATCCCAGATGAGCCGGCAACCCTTTCCCGAAGGCTGATTTGCCTGAGTGGGGAGAGGTGGGATTGTGGCATAGGAGGGAGAGGAGCCCAGGCTTCTGGGCGCCTGGAGTCGAGGGGGTGAGGAAGGATGCCAGAGAAGTGGGGTGGCCCTGGGTCCCTGGCAGTGAGGGGCTCCTAAGACTGCCCTTGCTCCTACCATCACCACCCATCCCATCACCATCAGGGCTGTGACCCAATGTCTCCAGGGCCTTCCTTATGCTTAAAACATTAGCTGCCAATAGCTAGGGCTTCTGTTAGGTTCTTCCTGGTTCAGGCCAAACTCCAATCTACTGCCCCCTTCACACATACGCACACTGTCCTGTTCTTTGTCCCAGGCATGAAAACACTTTTCTTTCAAAGGGCTAACTGGGCAGAGACATGACCCTCCATGTCCCCCATCCTCCACCTGGGCCTCATGGAGACACTCACCAAGGTTCCCAGTGGAATTGTGGAGTCAGTTGTCTCATTGGAGATCTCACCCTGTCTTCTTCCATAGTCATGACCTATCTAGTCATCACCTGAACTCTCCCGGTTCTTCATCTCACCTCTGCCACAGCCCCTCCCCACCATGGCCTCCCTGTCAATGGGGCTCTAGCTCCACCAGAGCCCTCTCCAATGCAAACAAACTCCTCCCTCTTCAGCATCATCACTGAATACCCCTTCTACCCTTTGCCCTGGCAGAAACTCTCTCTTGAGAAGCCAGGTCTCCTGTGGGACTCCTGAAGGTGGCTCACATTCATATACCACCTGGACTTGGAGTGGAGGCATGATCCTGGTGCCACTGTTCACATTTCTGACCATTTCTCCTCTGGTAAAACTCTCCAATTCTCCCATTCTCCGTCCCTCCTCACTGCTATTTTCTAGCCCAGTGATTTTCAACCAATGTGCCAAAAGAATGTTTAAAATATGCAATACCTGACTATTCAGTCAAGGGCACTAAATAACCTCTTTCCCCTTAGATTGTCAAGTTTAAAAAATGATAACAGCCAACACAACAATAGCTATCTGGTGTGAATGAATCAAAATTATACCTATTTTTTGTCAGATGCACAAAAAAACATATATTTTGGGGGTGCTGCATAATTTTAATAATTAGTTTATGTGTGCTATGGATGAAAAGGGTTGAAAATCACTGCTCTAGCCCTGGCCAGTTTGGCTCAGCGGTTAGAGCGTCGGCCTGCGGTCTGGAGAGACCCGGGTTTGGTTCCCGCTAAGGGCATGTACTTCGGTTGCAGTTTGTCCCCGGCCCTGGTTGGGGCCATGGTTGGTCGTGCGGGTGGCAGCCACTCGATGTGTTCCTTTCACATCGATGTTTCTCTCTCTCTCTGTTCCCCTCTCTCCCTCCCACTCTACCTGAACAAAATGGAAAAGTGTCCTCGGGTGAGGATAAAAAAAAAAAAAAAAAAGAAAATCACTGCTCTAGCCAATCAGTCACTTGTCTACTTTCATTGAGGACTTTGACATCTGGCTTATTTTCCTCTTCACGCCATGGTCCACTAAGTTTCTGCACTTCTTCAAAATCCCATAGATGTGCACCTTCATCTCATCAACCACCCTCTCAGCTCTTATGAGGACTATTGCAATCCATGATCATAGTGGCTTTCTCAGTACCGTTCCTGCCCCACCCCCATCCAGTCCCAGTTCAACTCTCTGTTTAAAACTGCACCTACTGATACATTCATAAAAAATAAAAAGGAATACACACTGGATTCCTGCACAGCAATAAGAAACAATAAACTAGATATACACACTGCAATGTAGTAGACCTTGAAAACACTGTTAGGTCAAAAAATATATATCAAAATTAAAAGCAGCCCTGGCTGGTGTGGCTCAGTTGGTTGGAGTGTTGTCCAGTACACCAAAAGGTGGTGGGTTCAATTCCTGGGCAGGGCACATACCCAGGTTTTGGGTTCTATCCCCGGTTGCGTGCAGGAGGCAACCAATAGATGTTTTTCTCTCACAGTGATGTTTCTCTCTCTCTCTCTCTTTATCCCCCTTCTTCTCTTTAAAATCTATTTTTAAAAAATTTTTTTTTTTTTTTATCCTCACCAGAGGACACTTTTCCATTTTTTGTTCAGATAGAGCGGGAGGGAGAGAGAGGAAGAGAGAGAGAGAGAAACATCGATATGAAGGGACGCATCGAGTGGTTGCCACCCGCACAACCAACCAGGTCCGGGGACAAACTGCATCCGAGGTACATGCCCTTAGCAGGAACCGAACCCGGGTCTCTCTGTACCGCAGGCCGACGCTCCAACCACTGAGCCAAACCGGCCAGGGCTAAAAAAATTTTTTTAATTAAAAGCACACACTAGAGATGGCTATGTCTGAATAGTAAGTTTTGGAGTGATTTTTTATTTTTTTATTTTTTACTTTCTTCTTCGTATTATTCCATGTTGCTTAAATTTTAAAATAATGAACATATAGCATTTTATACAAACATTGTTTTCGAAAAAAATCTACATAGGCACATAAAACATGACATATATGACAAAGCTATATGTGTATTTAAAGGCACACATCAAACACATTAGATGAGGTACTTATGGGGGAGGGGATTGGGGAGGAGTGCTTAGGGAGAGGGAGAGAAAATTAAACAGGAAAGCCCTTTCACTCATTGACCAATAAGGATACTATACTAGAGTCGCAGGGGTATGCTCACCTCCATTCTTTTTTTTTTATCCTCACGCGAGGACATTTTTCCATTTTTTGTTCAGACAGAGTGGGAGGGAGAGAGAGGAAGAGAGACAGAGAGAGAAACATCGACGTGAAAGGGACACATCGAGTGGCTGCCACCCGCATGACCAACCAGGGCCGGGGACAAACTGCAACCGAGGTACATACCCTTAGCGGGAACTGAACCCGGGTTTCTCTGGACCACAGGCCAACACTCGAACTGCTGAGCCAAACTGGCCCGGGCTTCACCTCCATTCTTTGCACCTGACCTTCAAAAAAAATCCCTCACCCCAAATCTGATCATGATACTTACTCTATTGTTTGAAACTTTCTAGTTCTCAGTCCTCTTAGAATAAAATCCAAAAAAGTTTATGTATCTAGGAAGGCCCTTTTTGCCTGAGCCATATCCACCTCAACAACTACATGGACTTTCTTTTACTTTTTCCAATAGGTCACCATCTACCTGGCTCAGACCTTTTGCATATGCTGTTCTTTGGCCTAAAATGCTTCTCTGCCTGGTGACCAACTCACCACTCAGGTCTTAACTTGTCACTTCCTCAAGAAAGTCTTCCCTGATTCCCAATCTAAATCAGGATCCCTGGGTTATAGTCATTCCTCACATCCTTTACTTTTCCTTCAAAGCCATGATCCTGGTAATCATTGTGAAGTCATGAATGTGATTATTACTTTAGTATTGATTTCCTCCAATAGACTTTAAGCTCCCTGAGGGCACGATCCAGACTGTTTTGTCCTCTGCTATATCTCCTTCAGCTACTTAGTCCAGCACCTGCCACATAGTAGGTGCTCAAAATATTTGTTAGATAAATGAATGAATGACCTCATCAATGCCACCTCCAGTCCAGCCACCCACTTCCCTGGCCATACCTTGAATCTTGTCATTACCTAAAACTCCATCTCTAGAATATTTATCCATTGTGGATTTACCTACTAAGTACCAAGCACAGTGGCAGGCACCTTGAGACTCAAAGATAAATAGGACACAGTTTATCAGATAAATATTAAAAGCTCCGGAATCCTACTCTCTCTGACTAGAGCTTTTCATTTTCCAGCTTACTCCCTTCCCTCACAATATCAGCTTTTCAACCGCATTGAGCACTCCAGACTGTCCAATATGTCCAAGCCTATCATCAGCTCCTGGCTTTCCTTCTCTTCCTTATCCAACCTACAGTCACTTCATTGCTTGTTACCTTCTTGCCTCCCTGCCCTTTGATGGCATCCACAGTGTGACACCCCACCCCTAGACCTGTCAAACCATCCATCTGCTCAGCCTGTACCTAGACTGCCAAGTGTTGCTCAAGAAGATAAAAAAAACCTGCATGTTGTTGATGCCACAGATTTAAGGTCTTTTAGCAAGACAGATCTAGTGATATCAAGAGTGATCAAGTTAAGTGTTGCTCTCCTGAACAAAAGGAAATCTATTAATACAAATTACTGCATAAACACTATATGAACAATTAAATGGTCATCTCAGTACATTCTGAAAAAATTCCATAACTGTTTCTTCTTTCCTGGTCATTAAAAAAAAAAATCCCAGTAAGCTAAGAGTAGAAGAAAACTTTGTTTCTTTTTTTTTTTTTTGCATTTATCTTGAGCTAGAGCGGGAGGGAGAGAGGGAGGAAGAGAGAAACATCGATGTGAGACAGACACACCGACTGGTTGCCACCCACCCCACACAACCCTAACCGGGGCAGGGAACAAACCGCAACCCAGCTACGTGCCCTCAGCAGGGACCAAACCTGGGACTCTCTGGTCTGCAGGCCAGCGCTCTTACCGCTGAGCCAAACCGGCCAGGGTGAAAACTTTCTTAATTCACTTTCACTTTTAAAAAGTTTTCCAGAGTCTGCAGCAAAGTTCACACTCAGTGACAAAGTATTATGAAAGCACTCCTGCTCTGGCAGGGTAGCTCAGCTGGAGCATTGCACCGATACACCAAAAATGTGGGTTTGATCCCTGGTAAGGGCACATATAAAAATCAACCAATGAATGCATGAATAAGTGGAACAACAAATAGATGTTTCTCTCTCTCTCCCTTCCTTTGAAAGTCAGGAAATAGGTAAGGATATTTACTGTCACTATTACTTAAACTCATGTTCTTTCCAATGCAATAAGAAATAAAAAGTATCAGCATTGAAAAAGAAGCTGTACATCTCTCACGATAAATAGCTTACATGATTTTATACTTTAGAAAAACCAGAAGAATCCACTGAAAAACTATTTCTGACCTAAAAGAGGGTTCTTGGTGGCCTGACCTCTTCTGTGGACCTACCTGGCAGCTCCTTCCCAGCAGGGAAAGGTGACCTCAGCAGGACAAAAGAAACACTGGCCTACTTGTGCTGTGCTCCTGGCCCACACACACTGTGTCTGGATGGTTTGTCTCATAATGTAGATGGGGGATGGTCTGCTCCCAAATTTCCTTGCTTGTTTTTCTGATCCCCTAAAACACCCCTTCTCAGATCCCCCCAGAGCTCCCTGCTGCCACAAGTCAAAATCTGAGCTCCTTAGTGTGGCATTCAAGACTTTTTGGGGTCTGTCCCACCTCATATCTGGACCTCTCTGTTCTCATTCAGACAGTCAGCTCCAGCATCTCCTAAGTGTGCCACCCTCAGAACCTAAGCCCTCTGCATGTTCATCTCAGGAACTGCCCTTCCTCCTCTCAGCTCCAATGCCTGCCATCCTTCCCAGGACCACTGGACAGGAAGGCCAGGGAGACAGGTGGACAGACTCAGAAGGGAGACAGTGACACCAGGGTCCTGGGTGAGTAGGAAAAGAGGTTGAGTCTGAGAAGATGCGGGTTTTTGAAGGTCAGGATGGTCCTTACCTGATGGTGTTCTCCAGGCTCCCCTCCCCCAGGTGCCGTAGGAATAGGGCCTGGAGGTCGCTCCAGTACAATGTGCCTTGGTGGGAGTCCGGGCTCAGCTCATAGTTCACATCCTCACTGACAACCAACACGTCATTCCCGCATGCCTGGCAGGACCCTCGGAAGGCCACGTAGCCCAGAAGGAAGGCTGGCAAGTGGCAAGATGGAGATTCTCCTGTGACCCCTCTGAGCCCCAGAAATCTCCCCCAGCCCAGGCCCTTCACTGTAGGGGCAGAATAACTCTCACCCCCAGTGAAGATCAGCAGGGCTGTCAGGACCAGGTAGGGAGCGGTCCTTCGTCCTGCTGCTGCCCAGAGTCCAAGGTTTTGCAGCCCTGCTTGAGAGCCCAGGGGCTCAGAGCCCCTCAGCTCCATGGGACAGAAGTGGGCTGGTGGCTCAGCCACCTCCTCAGGGTCTTCCTCTTCCTCCTCAGGGCACCCCTGCTGGGTGCCTTCCACATGCTTGTAGATGGTCTGAGAGGGTCGTGGGGACAACCTTTTCTGTGGGGGGAACAGTGGGCATGAGATTGGGGAAAGAAGTGTGGGTGGCAGGGAGGGACTTGACAAAAATAGGATCAGTGACTTTGGGGTGCCAAAGGAGCACAAGGCAAGAAAGATGGTCCTGAGAATCAGACTGGAGGGGAGAAATTGAGGTGGGAAAGGGAGGGGCTAGCCTTGGGGTTTGGGAGGGAGTTGAAGGACCTAGAGGAGGCCTAAGGTGTCCCCCGACCCAACTCAGTCTTACCGCTCCCTGGAGTAGACCCCAAAGCCGCTCCATTCTCGTGCCCCCTCCTGAGTCCTGCAGGCTGTCCCCCACCCCCAATGATAAACCGTTTGTGGGAGCCCTGGGAGGGCCCCTTATCAGTCCTAGCAGGCAGCCTGAGCTCTGGCATTTCTCACGCCCCCCCCCCCCCCCCCGCAAAGAGTAGGGGCACAGCCCGGCCTCAGTCCAGCCGGCTCGATATGGCCCCCCAGCCCAGGTTAGAGGAAGAGGGGTTGTACCCACCCCTGCCAATCCTTCCACAGTCCCTGTCTAGTCCCCTTCCTGCAAAACAATCAATTTTTGACCTTGGGCAGACTTTGGCCTCTCAGTTCCCGTCAGGGGTGGGGGAGGAGTACTGATGGCTGGGGAGGGTGGAGATATGGATGCCCCCATCCCGCTCCTGCTTCCACCCCTCCCAGCGTTCTGGGGACCCTTTCCTAGGTCCTCACCTTGAAAATCTCTGCCCCTTCTCATCTGGCTTGCAGCCCCAATGCCCCAGCCCTGTATCACGTTAGTTGCCCTTTCTGTCTGGATGTTGGCCCCAGTGGGATCCTAAGCTAAAGGTGCCACAGTGATGTGACCTGGAAGTTTGATCTGGCCATGTGGGTGTCTTGTCTCATGGGAATCAGGCTGAAATTCAGGTCTCAAGCTCCTACTGATGCTGGGGAGGGAAGGGCATGAATGGTAGCACATGGTCAGGCAAGACCAGTGAGTGCTCCAGTGAGTGTCCTGGAGCCAGGGATCCGTGGGTCAAGGCCCACCAGACATTGGTGGAAAGAGTCCTAGCCAAAGTATGGGCACAGCTAGGTGAGCCTGGACAGTTCATGATCCTCTTTGGGCACTTCTGCCTTTTTGGTGACTAAAGAGCTTGGATCAAGCGGATTTTGACCTCTTTTAGATCCAGGAACACATCACAAGAAAAAACCGCTAAGTTGCACTCACAATTTCAGGCAGGGGGCGCAGATCCCCACCCACCCCCTCACCCCCCCGCGGAAGACCCCAGGACAAGTAGCTCTGGAATAGAAGAGCTCAGGGACCTGGTGTGGGTCACCCTTGGGAAACCTCAATTACTAGCCAAGTTGGGAAAGAAGTTTTGAGCTGCTGGGACTCATCAGTGCCCAGTCCCCGCCCCATTCCTGTCTCCGCCGAGAGCCCCGAGAAGAAAGACTAGTGTAGCCCCGGCTCACCTCAGCGGCAGGTCCTGGGGTGTTTGGGCACAGCCTCTCCAGAGGCCCGACACCCTGCCCACCGCAGACCCCACCTCCGGCCCGCCCACTCCAGGCCCCACCTCCGGCCCCGCCCCCTCCTCTGGCCTTGCTCCTGCCTCTGCAACTTCTCTCCGGCAACCTCTTCTCACCTCGACTGGGCTCCTCACTGGGCGACTTACACTGCGCTCTGCCAGGGTCCCGTTAAGTGATCCTCTCTGGATCGCGGCTTCTTTCAAACCTGAGGCATCCGTGGCTCCCGCGGCTCCGCCCTTCCCGCAGACCTTGCCCGGGTGTCCACCGTGGGGTCTTCAATGGATGTAGGTGTGGCCCTCCGATAGCCAACCCCCAGACCCCTGCACCCACTCCCCACCTCCAAGGAGTCCAAACTTTATTTTTCTTAAAACATTTTTTACTCTTTTCAACCCAGAAACATCACAATCTAAGAGGACGAGAGGGGCGGGAAAAAGAAAGGGGCGATGGGGTGGGGGTGGGGTTAGGGGTCCTCAATTGCCCTTGAGGAGGCCAGGCTCCGGGAAACCCTCTCCCCACTTTCGCGTCCCCTCCCCCACCAATGCGGGCCTGTGAGTGGGGAGGAGGAGCCCTCAAGGGCACTTCCGCTCCACGCACTGCTTCCCGCCTTCTTCGTATTCCTGCTTGGAGATCCACATCTGCTGGAAAGTGCCCTGGGTGTGGGGGACGACATCGGCGGTCAGGGAGGCCTTGAAGGAGTCGGGAAGCGCCACCCCACATTCCACCCGTGCAGGAAACCTTCTTCCTGGTTTCCTCCGCTCCTCAGTCCCACCTTCCTTGGCAACAACCTTCCCAACCCCTCACCTCCATCCTCCCACCAACCCCTTCATATTCTGGGGGCTAATACCCTTCTTCATATCGTTCATTCACAATGTTGATTCATTCATTCAACAAGTATGTATTGCACATCTGTCTGCTCCGTGCCAGGTGCTTTTTGTGAGCTGGGTGGTGGAACTTACACCCTCAAGCCAGCCAACCAGCACTCCAACAATCGCCACCACCACACACACACAGACACACACATTTCTCCTCCACCAGGTGGCCTATCACTCCATCAGGCCTTCTAAACTGGTCAAGTCGTTCTTCATTCCCAAGAAAAATCTTTATTCCACCCTCACCATTTCTGTACCACCTAACTTGTGATGGACTTGTCTCCACTCCGGTGCCCCACCCCCTATGGAAACTTGCCCCTTGAGGGTCTCCTGCACTGGGCATCTCAGACTGTCTCTTCTCTTTGATGGTTGCTCTGTCTCTGCCTGAAAGTTGGTGCCTGTGTCCATTGTTCTGTCCCTTTTTCTCTCCTTGGGTCACAGAACAAGGCTTCCTGGACCTGCTTATCCACTCCTGTGACTTCTCATGAGCTAAAACCCACCCTTCCCTCCAATTTTCCTTGCAGATCTCGGTGCTGAGTGAAAGAGCCATACTCAGCTGTCCTTTGGATACCTCTTCCTGAGTGTCCCTCAGGACCTCAAACTCAACATATCTACCACTGAGTTTATTGTCTTAACCCAGTTCTGGCCCAAACCTGCTTCTATAGTCTTTCTTGCTTTCTACACTAGCACTGTCCAATAGAGCAGCCACTAACTACATATGGTTATTGAGCACTTGCAATGTGGCTGGTCTGAATTGAGATGTGCTCTGTGTAAAATATGCATCAGATATGAAAGACGAAGTCCAGAAAAAATAATGTAAAATATCTCAATGATTTTTTATATTGATCATACATTGAAATGATATCTGGACATATTGAATTAAAGTATATATTCTTTAAACTTAATTTCACCTGATTCTTTGGACTCTTAAATATAGCTACTAGACATTTTAAAATTGCACATGTGACTCACATTACATTCCTATTGGGCCTCATCCTAGACTCCTTCCCTCTTGCTTCTTGTATCCAAATAGAGTCCACATTCTGTCAGTCAGATCACTGATAAGCTCCCAGACCCACTCCCTAATATCCACTCCTTTGTCAAACACCAATCACAGTGGAGACCACTGAGTCAAAGTGAGCTTCCTGAACTATAATTTGACTGTGTGTGCCCACTGCCTTTGGTACTGCCAGCCTCTGCCCATGGTCCAAGCACCCTCTCTCCCTCTTTGCCTCATGAGTTCTTACTCAGTCTTCCCATCTCAATTTGAATACTATTCACAGGTGTTTCATGATCCCTGAACTGGATCAGGTCCTTTCTTAAAGGAATACCCTCACACTTTGTGGTGATTTCCTGTTTAATCGTCTTGGTCTCTAGACTATCCCTGCTTGTGGAGGCAGGGACTGTGTCAGGCTGTCTGTCCACTTCCAGCACACAGGAAGCCCACAATAACTGTGTGTGGCTGACATGCTCAGCCTTGAGCTAACTTCAGACTGTCAGCCTCCTGCCTTTCTGACCCTTCTTTCTGTCTCCCTGGGGGCTCACCCTTAGGTGGATGTCCTCCTTGTCTTATCATCGCTCTGATGTCTCCTCTGTGTGGCTGGCACCCTCCAGATGCAGTTTGCATCTCCAGCTCCCTGCTCAATATCTTGCTTCTGCTCTAGCAGCAAGCCCAAACTGAACTCACCACCTACTGAACTCACCACCTACTGCTCCAGAACCAATCTGCCTGCCTCCTTCTCTAACTGCTCCTTGCTCTTCACCCCATCCCTACTGCAACCCATGCTTCTAGGACAATATAGCCTCCTTCCAATGTCCCCTTGCATCCAGCTCACACCCGGATCCTTAAAGACATAGTTGTCTCACCCTGGCCAGTTTTCTCAGTGGTTAGAGCTTCGGCTCATGGACTGAAGGGTCATAGGTTCTATTCTTGGTCAAGGGCACATACCTGGGTTGCAGGTTCAATCCCCCCTCATGCTCCCCCATGCCCCCCCAAGTTGGGGTCATGCTGGAGGCAACCAATTGATGTGTCTCTCTCACATTGATGTTTCTCTCTCTCTCCCTCCCTCCCTTCCACTCTATCTAAACAAAAAATCAATGAAAAAAAGTCTTCAGGTGAGGATTAACAACAACAACAAAAGACAGTCTTCTCAAACATGCCTGTGACTATCACCCAGCCTTGCTCCAGAACTTCAGTGTTTGCTCTCTGCTGAGTACAATGGGTGCCTCATCCTGGCACACAAGGCTTCCACAGTCTCATCCCAACCAACCTCTCCAGCCTCCTGTTCCTCTGCTCCTTGATATGTGTCCTGATGGAACATTAACCCTTCTGGGAGCACTGACTGCCCTTTCTCAAAAATAAATGTTTGTTGAATGAAGAAATGAGGAAGCAGGCAAGGCCCTGGGGCTCTCCCTGTCCACAGTCAGAGCCAGGCCAGAACCCTTCCCACTTACCAGCGAGGCCAAGATGGAGCCTCCAATCCAGGGGCTGAATTTGCGCTCCATGGTGCTGTTGCTGGCAATGAGTTTCAGTCGCATGCTCTGGGGGAGAAGAAGGGCTGGGGGAAGCAGACACCTGGGTTCTGGGAAAGGACGGGGCTGGGAGTGGGGAACACTCAGAAGCCACAGGGGAAGGGGTCTGCTCTGGTGGCCAGAACACTAGATGTTTGGGAA